CTTTTGGCAGCATTACTCAGTCCTCATTCACAGCTGCTTAGGCCAAACACCTGGAGCAGGATGGAGCCAGATTCTTCACTGAGACTCCTCACCTGAGGATCAGCTCTCAGCATCTAGAACTAAATTAAATCGGCTTCCTTCCACCCCTCTCTTAGCTTGATTCTCTTGTTTTGTTTCTCAACACATCAAAGGGGAAAAATATTTACTGAAGTAAAGCTGGTTAAAGTCTCACAACATATGGCAGACAAGATGCCTACAAACCAAATACAGCTATTTCTATTCAATTATAGTTTACTATCACTTATTATATCACAGTACAGAATGTCTTTTATATCATAGTACAGAATGTCTTTGGGAAAACCATATATGCATGTTTTTTATCAATCAGAATAAAGACTATGACCTGTTTAAAAAACAAAAAGCCACATACATAAAATGAAAACTTTATGAAATAAGGAAAATCAAGATTTTGATCTACTCTTGGCTTAGCCTTAGCCATCAAGAGTATAATGATGGCCAAACTAAGCTCTGTACCACCATTGAGATATAACTGGGCTGTGAGACCCACATCATCAGGTATTTTGAGCATTATAGTGAAAGCTAGAGAAGAGCAAAATGTTATTTAATAGCTTGTACATCTGACCACAATTCTAGGAAAAATCTCTTTAGAGGGCTAATTAAATTGATGTTAGATTGAGAAGTCATATTCCTTCCATTTGAGGTTCTGTCACTTCTCCTCACCTCATAAGGAAGCCCCCAATGATTACATCATTAGTACTCACATTCAAAGCATTCTTTGCAGCTTCTGCTTCTGAGCGACTGTCAAAACTGACAAAACCTACGGGCTGAAGAAAGAAAAACAAATATGAAGGGAAAAATAATCAGGGGATAGCTATTTTTCTGGATCAAAGGTGATATCGAACTGAAGAGCTAAGATAAAGAAATGATCATGGGCAATGGTGTAGAAATAAGAAAACCAGTCTTGAAGAATCTTGACTCAGTGGTTTAGACAAATTTCTAACACAAATAAAAGGAATTGTGAGGGTGGTTCTTCCAGGACATAGCTGGAGATTCAGAGAATCATAAAAATAATCTAGAAGGAGTTGAAAAGTGAGCAGCAGTGAACAAGGGGATAGAGAAAAACTTGGGTCAAGAGGCTCTACTTTCCTAAATCAAATTCACTGTATCTCAGTTTCTTCATCTTTTAAAATGGGAAGAGAACCAAATCACCTTTTGGTACACCGTAAGTGCAAGGACTATAATGACACAATGATAAAAGCCCTATACTCTTGTTGCATGATCACAATTATAAAATGAACACAGTCGTCGCAAATCCCAAGGGGTACCTTTAAAAGTCCTGTGTTTAATAATATCACTTATATGTGGGATATAAACCTAAAAGCAACAAATGAACAGGACAAACAGAGACTCATGGACTAGAGACTAGTGGGAGTGGGGGAGGAGGGGGTAGGTAGACGGTTAAAGGTGGTCAAATAGAGGTGTTTAGCGGGAGGGTGAAGTGAGTAAAGGGGATCAAATATATGGTAGCTGAAGGAAACTGGACCTGTGGGTGGTAAATACACAATAGAATATACAGATGTCAAAGGATAATGTACACCTGAAAATTATATAATTGTATTAACCAATGTTACCCCAATAAACTGAATTAAAAATTTTTTTAAAAGAATTAATAGTGCATATAATTTATATTCTCTGTGGTATTCCATAAGTATGACAATCCAATCAATGCTTATCATCAAAGCAAAACCTGGATAGTGTATTTTTATCCCTGTTTTCTGAAATCTTTGAATAGGGGAAATGAAACCACACCCAGTTGAGTGAAAATAAGTTATCACCCCAAGGTCCTGACGTTCAGAGTTCCAAAAATTGTTTATGAGAATCAGGGATCCAGAGGTGCATTTAGACTACATAAACAACAAACTGGAACAGGTGCACCGTTAAAAACTACTAAAAAAATAATCTTGACACATTAATGTAAGCAGTTCCCACAAATAACTATGTCATCATCACTTTTGTGCCAATAAATATTTTATAGGGCAAAACATTCTCTGTACTATATACTACTCTTCAAGTGCAAACAAGAATGAAAAACTTAAAGAACGTCACTAAAAACAAATATCACCATTAAAAAATATTGTGGATTCAGAAGCCCTACAGATGTAAAGTATCATGAAAAAGGTCATTTTTATACAGTATTATATTATGTAAAGATTTCAAATAAAACTAGTATATTTTAAATATGTAGTTTTTCAGATTGCAAATTTTTCCACTGTTCTGTCTTTGACATGCAAATACCACTGTAATCTTTAAATTCCTTCCTAGTCATTTAGTCATACCAAATTTTAAAAGTAAAAAATATATATATATACATATATATATACATACCAAAACTTTGTCCACCACAATATGCATTTCTAGATAAAGAGGAATTAAGTCTGAAACGGCTGGTTCTGACTAGAAAATAGAAAAACAGTATTTAAAAACAAACAAAAAAAAAACATAAAAACTTTGATAAATTGTTTATTCTAAACTTTTAAATCTTTTGTCTATTTTTACTGACATATAATTGAAAAATAAGAATTATATATTTAAGGTATAAGATGATGTGTATTACTGGCATAATAAAGCTAATTACCATAACCATCTCATAGTTACCATTTTCTTGTGTGTGTGTGTGGTGAGAACACCTAAGATCAACACTCTCAGCAAATTTCAAGTTTACAATGCAGTGTTGTTAACTATAGACATATTACTGTATATTAAATCTCCAGCACTTCATCTTACGTAACTGAAACTCTGTACCCTTTGACCAATACTTCCCCAGTTTTCCTTGTCTCCAGCTCCTGGAAACTACCATCTACTTTCTGCATCTATGAGTTTGACTACTTTAGATTCCACATATATGAAATCTTGCAGAATTTGTCTTTTTATGTCTGGCTTATTTCATTTAACATGTCTTCCATGTTCTTCTATGTTGTCACAAATGGCAGGATTTCCTTCATTTTTAAGGCTGAATAATATATCATTTTATATGTGTATGTGCGTTTGTGTCACATTTTTCCTATCTTTCATCCATCAATGGAATTTTAGGTTGTTTCCATATCTTAGCTATTCTGAATAAAATTGCAGTGAACACGTAAGTGTAGATATCTCTTCAAGATACTGACTTAATTTCCTATGGACATATACCCAGAAGTAGAATTGTGAATCATATGGTAGTTTTATTTTTAATTTTCTGAGGAACCATCATACTGTTTTCCATAGTGGCTGCACCTATTTACATTCCCATCAATAGCTGACAAGAGTCCCCTTTTCTCCACATTCTCACCAACATTTGTTATTTCTTGTCTTTTGATAATAGCCATTTTAACAGGTGTGAAGTGATATATCTCATTGTGGTTTTGATTTATATTTCCTTGATGATTAATGATATTGAGCTATGTGTGGTGATGGATGTTAACTAGACTTATTGTGATCATTTTGTAATACATACTTATATTGAATTCTTTAAAATAATACATTTTTCAATAAAACTGAAAGAAAATAAATGTTTAAGTATAAATAAATTTTTTTTAAATAGTTACACATTCTAGATGTTAAAAGCAAAAGCACAGCCAAAGACAGAGGGTCCCGCCATCCTTCCCTATATGCACAAGAATACAATAAAAAAAGGATCTGAGAAGATAATGGCAGAGAACTAACACTGTGCACCCTAGTGGGTAATCTAAACCACTATAAATTACCCTCTGAAGTTCTCAGACAGAATAAAATTTTAGTATGTAATAAAATTTTGTTTTAAATTATATACATATATGTGATAGCATTTAATATTTTGGTGCTGCACCTTCATTTCATAGTACATTTTATTCCTGTATTATTTTGAACATAGGATTAGAAGCTATAACAGACAAGATTATACTGGATTAAACAAAATTAGATCTTATTTCTCTCTCACATAAAGTCTGAAGATGGTGGTTTTAGTCTTTAAATTCATTGGGAGTAAGATTCATTCAAACTTATTGCTCTGTCACACATGGTATCATCCTCATCCTTGTGGACTATGTATCAACATGTCCACAATGCAGCCAGAAAGAAAGAAAAAAAGAAAGAGAATGAACCCGCCCCCCCACCACTTCCTTTAGAACTCAATCCAGATGTGACACATTTTATATCTGCTTACACATCATTAGCCATAATTTTATCACAGAACTGTACCTAAATGAAAGGGAAGTTGAGAAATGTAGTCCTTTTTTTACATGCCCAGCTAAACTCTTAAGGGTTTCTTTCTTTCTTTTTTTTTTAATGTGAACAACTAAGACTGCCATATACCTCTTACATAAACTATGCATATTTGTGTCAGTTTTACTTAGCACAAAATTTTTCTCTCTAACAATTACTTTCATAAGGACCAAAACATTGGGTTATACAGGGTGTACAATGCAAAATTTACATGGCCATACATGACAATCTTGTTTATGATATTTTAATTCTATCTATAAATTAATTAATGCTGACTCTTTGGTTACAAACGCAACCTTTATAAATACTGGCTTTAAAAATAACTTCCAGGAATATAGAGACAAAAGCAGTAAACAAATTTCTAAAACTTATATTAAATATA